ATACACCAGGGTGTTGCTGGATATCGTGGTCCAGGACTCCACCACAAAATGAGTTTTATTACCAGGAAGCAGAGCACAACTAAAGGTATCAAAAGCCTTAAGATGACAAATCCTGCCACCGACAGAGAGGATTTACTTCAAAATCTTATCGGCAATTTTTTTTCCCTCTGGCCTGCGGTGCTATTTATACATCTAGATTATTTGTTGTAAGTTGCCCAGTAATGGAAATATCAGCTGTAGAACATTCGGCCTCTCTTCAGTCAGTGTCACTGTTGCTGCGTAACTCCCGCGATAAACGAGGGACCACTGTATAGTAGTGATGTGCGATACCACTGATTTCCTTTCCGATCCAATACCAAGTAATATTCAGGGTGGTATCGACGATACTGATCCGATACCGATACTTTGTACAAAAACATATTTTATTTATTGTATCTCAAATCATAGCGTCATAATGATTACAGGACATCAGATTACTCGTTCTTATCACTTAATAATGCAGAGTTCATCATATAGAAATAAAAAAACTGAAGTTGTGCGCTATTTGAACACCTTGCCTGCCTGCAGCACTAAAGGACTCCATGAGAGTCCTTTAGTGCTGCATCTGTCTCGCCCTAGCAGCACCTGTCCCTCTCCTCCTCTTCAGTTCGCCTCAACATACGCTCGCCATATTCTGTGGTATGATTTACTCTGAGGTGTTTGACGAGGTTAGTGGTGTTGCCACAACACCTCACTTTCTTGCCACATGTATCACAAACCACTTCTCAGCTTTTTGTGGAGGTAAAATACTTCCGCACATGACTATTATTACGCTCAGCCATTGTTGTGAGTGCGCACGCCAAAGGGCTGCGAGACATTTATACAGCCGTATTTCGCACATGACTATGAAAGGCAGAAGAGGAAGTAGTTCCTTCGAATGTAGACAATCCGAATGTTATAGTTTCCTTCCACTGTGTTCCTGTTAATGATAAACTACAAATTTACCCTAAATTACTAAAATATTGATATTTTAATGTGAGAATCGATTCTAGAAAATAAATGATTGGTATCGGAGGAATCGATATTTCAGGATCGATCCGCACATCACTACTGAAATCACAACAACAGCTGCCTCGGGATGCTTTATGTTGTAAGGTAAAGATCCTACAATAATACAAAGAAAAATACAGTCTTTGCTGTGATTTCTTCTTCACTGATGCATATAGAAGCTGCGGGGTGTTGATTCTTTCTTGGATTATAATCATCTCTTGGTCTTATCTACATTTATGAAAAGATTATTTTCATGAAATGAAAGTTCTCTTCTGTGTGCCATCTGTTTGTCAGCGATCAGCCCAATCTCTGTAGTGTCCTCTGCAAACTTTATAATGCTGGTGTTGATCTGGAAACCCAGACAGTCAGAAGAGGCCAGACAGTTCTGGTTCTTGATGTCTGGTTTCTAACTGACTGGCTGCAGTCTGTCTGACAGGAAGTTCAGCATCCAGTAAAATGCATGAGTGGATAAAAGAGTGCATGAATGAAGAATGAGGAAAATAAATAACTGTCTGGGAAATAAGAGAAAGGATCGAAGACACCATTGACTTAAACTGCAACACAAATAGAACAGATGGAAGATGGAACAGACGTCATTTAATATACACTCACCAGCCACTGTATTAAGTACACGTTGCTAATGGGTTGAATCCCTTTTGACCTTCAGAACTGCTTTAAATATTCATGGCACAGATTCAGCAAGTTGCTGGTTTTGGTCCATATTTACACGATAGCATCACACATGGCATGTTAGACACTGCTGCTGAAACAAGGCTGCTTTGATCACCACCAGGCACAGTTTCAGCCATATTCTTATGTTCATAAAACAATTATGAAATAAAGCATAAGAAAAGTGAAATTTAAATCCATTATATTAAAAAAAAGCAACAAAACTGGGCACACATTCCAAACAATCCAGATGAATAAAAAGCATTAAAGGCAAGAAGAAAATATGTATATTAGATGCTTGGTTGAAGTGTCCCTTTAAGATTTTGCCAGCAGTCTTAAAAGCATCTTCGAGCAGTCTAACATACATGAATTATTTTGTTTTGATTAGACTGTTCTGTTTCTGTTCTACATAAGTGAATGTGCCGTCACACAAACTGTAAAATTATATTGTCAAGTATGAAAAGAGGACTGGAGTCAAATTCAATCTAAAGCTCTGAGACAGAAATTCTTTGACAAAACTGAAAAAATAAGAGCTTTTCATTTTCTAATATTCAGGCATAACTTGTGAAATTGTGAGATAACGTTGCATGTTTGGGTTGGAACTGTGCGAGCAGTTCAGGGAAGACATTCAGAGTAATGGCTCTGAATGGTTGGACAGAATTCATGGTATACAAAATCTTATTAAGAGTCACAGTGAACATCTACACACACATGCACTCATGTTTTTTTTTTTAACTGTGGACCTGTTGTATTCAGATTGTACCGCCTGCGTGCTTTCACATCATTAAACAGTGCAGTTGTCTAAATGTTTTGATTGATTGATTGATTGGTAATTTATTTCAACATGTGAACAATATACAAGTACATTTAGAAAAGAAAATAAGAAAGAAAAAAAAGTACTATACAAATTACATACAACAAAAAAAAAGTTCTGATTAATTTACATGTTGAAATGTTACATGTTGGGAAGAAGTAAACACTTATTTAATCCCACCCCTTTGCCATAAATTATCAGTTAATATTTAGTCAGCTTCCTTACTGATATAAATTGTAATAAAAATAGTGAACAGATTTCTGATATACTATATACTATAATATCACATCATGAGTTTTTTTTTTGTTTATTTGTTTTTTAAATAGAGACATTCACTTAATTTAAATATTTTCCTTTTCTTTATAGTTCGAGAAGATCATATTTTTATAACTCTTTTTGAACAGTTTTATGTTTGGACATTGCTTTAATTCCATATTCAGACTGTTCCATAGTTTCACTCCAAGAACAGAAACACAAAAGCCTTTTCTTGTAGTACGTACCTTCATTGTTTTGAAGTTACAAAAACCCCTTAAATTATAACTTCCTTCTTTCAAAAAAAGCATACTCTGAATA